TAGGAGCCAAATCAGCAGAGCATGGTTATAAACCAGAACGGACGGTTTTCGACCAGTCCTGCGGCTGTAATTCAGCTTTTTTCAATGCTTGTGATTGGCGACAGGATGGCATTTCCTCCTCTTCAGGCAAAATGGTTTTCCCACCCACTGCATCACATGCCAGGCCAGTCTGACCTGATCTTTCTGGGAATGAAAAAAAAAAAAGCCCCACTACCACTGTTTTTTCTGTTGTATTCCTGGCTCCAGGGCCAGCACTAGGAGCAGCCGGATTTGCCCCCAATCCCTGGGGGGAGCAGGACACCTGAGCTTTGCTCCCCGTGGCTTTCACTGGATGGGAATTTTGTCCCATCCAGCTGTGCTGGCTTGGTGTTTCTGCCTCTCCTCTCCTCCTGTTTTGCTGAATCACCCCTTTCACAAGCCTCTGGAGCTCTTTGATGATCCAGGGGAGGGAATGGGAGCTGATGCTCTGCCAGCCTTCCCTGTGTTCCCCCTGCTCTTGAAAGGCTGCTTCTCTCTGCTGGGAGAAGGGACCATGATAACAGGAAAACCCTTTTGCCTCCCAACCTCTGGCAGGGATTCCCTGGAGGGTGACAGCGAAGGATGTCAAGGATGACAGCCCCACCAGCAGCAGGGAAATGCTCCAGGGAGCATCTGGCACAGGGACTTTGGACCTGCAGGGCTGGTTGACAGCTGTCAGCCCCACATCTGGGTCGCCAGCCCAAAAAACTTAATAGCCATCTCTCACCTGGCATTTGGTGCCTGCAGCACCAAATTGGGTGGCTGCAACCTGCAACTCCCTGGCTCAGGGGTGGGAAAAGGATTTGGGTGATGCAGTAAGTGCCTTGGCAAGGTGGGCATCCAGCCATCAAATGGTACCGATGTCCCCAGCTGAGCCCCATGGCTGGAAGGATTGCTCCTGTCCCAGCCCCAGCTTCACTTGTCTGCACAGCAATGCAGGACCCTGTCAACCCGTGTTCCCCTCCTGTCTGGGAGAGCTTCTTGCTCCTCTGCAGTGTCTCTGATGAGCTGAGCTGTGTCAGGTCTCAGCCAGCATGGAGGCAGGCGGGTTGGCCGGCTTCCCAGCTCTCTCTTGCCGCTGGATCATCCATCCTCCATCCAGACGTTTCACCCCAGGCCCATGAAGAAGCAGGCAGCAAGGGGGTGGGGTGGGGGATCCAAGGAGAAGTGTCCCGAGGGACTGCCAGCCTGCTCAAAGATGAGCTTAAGCAGCTGGGAAAATCCCAGAGAAATAATGTGATGACTGAGGGAGGAGGCAAAACCCCCATCAACCCCCACCTTGGAGGCAGCTGAAGAATTGGCTGTGGCCTGGCTCGTCTGCAGCAGCTGTCGAAATACAAAGAAGGGGAAAAACAAGCCCGTCTTTGACACGGCTTCTCCCTTCTCCCACCCTGTGACTGAAGACACGACTTGTTTTTCTGGGGCAGAGGAAAATTTAGGAGTCTCCCAGGCAGTGAGTGCCTGGGGTGCTCCCGACTGCCAAGTGGATGGATGGATGGATGGATGGATGGATGGATGGATGGCATTTTTCTGGAGAGGTGCTGGAAACGCTGGGATCATGGATTGCGGCGCCGCATGGGAGACAGTGCCGAGGGGCTGGAGTGGGGCTGGCTGTGCCCCCAGCCCGTGCAGGGTGAAGGCTGCCATCCGAGAGGGATGGGGAATGTTGGGGATGCAGGATGAAAGACGCCAAGATGCATATGGGTGTGAGCTTTTTGGAATGCAGGGAGCTGAAAATGCTGCATCTCGGTTGACTAATAAAAAAACCCCGTTCTTGTTTTGCAAAGGCTCGTTGCAGACATCTGCGGGTTGTGGAGTTCCCAAAAGGGGGAAGGAACCTCTCCCTGTTGGAGCAGCTCCCGGAGGAAGGATGCACAAAGAAATTGGGGTGCTGAGGGTTAAAGCCCAGGGAGTGATGGATCTGCAGGGCTCACCTTCCAAAAGGAAAAAAAGGAAGGGGAGGTAAGAGGGGGTATGAAAAGCAGCTGGCAGAAACCAAAAATAATTGTATGGCTTTTCAAAAAATTACCGTGGCAATTAAAAATGCTTTAAGCTTTTTGGAGGAGAAATAAGAGGTAAGTAGAATGCCCCTGGGCCAGATTGCAGGGTGGCACAGAGGGAGGTATGGCCATCACCAGCTGCAGGGGATCTGCTGGGGGATTGTGTGTCAGGAACTGGGCATCAGGGCCAGTGGGGAAAACCAGGTGAGCGAGGAGCTTTGGAGGTAAGTGATGGGGGAAGCTCCTTCTGCAGGGTGCCCGAGGGCCAAGTGCTCACCCCTGTTTCCAGAGGGTGGGGGATCAGAGCCACAGAAAGGCTGAGCTGTTCCTGCTGACTTTGCCTTCCTTCTCCATGCCCACATGAGAATGCATCCAGCTGGCCAAGGAAGAAATGGTGTCCTCTGCTGAAATGTCCTCTGTGGTATTTTTGACCAGGTACCAGGCATCTACAGCCCAGATTTGTCCTTGCTTTTGTGTTCCAGCCCCAGGGTTTGCAGCGTGCCCTGTGCGGCATCACTGAGTGCTAGTCTGAGATGCCGTGACAAGGACAAAGCACCTGAGATGTCACATCCCACGGTGTCTAGACTGAGGTTACAGCGGGCTCCCTCCCCGCTGGGTGTCATGCCTGGTGACCTGGCTGTGGGGTTTGGTGGCACATGCCCACCCCGGGCTCCCCAGGAGCCCCGCTGGGGTCAGCAGGCTGGTGCTGCCCAGTGCCAGCCCACCCTCCTCCTCGGGGACTGCAGCCGTGCCTGGCCACCCACAATAGCTGTTTTCAGTCCAATTTCACTGAGGGGTAGAGTTCTCAGAAATGTTAAGCTGCTGGAAAACAGGCTTCTTTACTTAGTTCATTTGTCACAGCCTTTAGGAGAGTTCCCGTCTTGGGTCTGGGAGCTGGTGTCCAGGCTGTGTCCGGTGCTGTACGGGCACAGGGGGATCTCCGTGCCTCCCACTGCCACCAACCTTACCAGTATGGCACAGCTGAGGAAACTGGGACACAAGGAGGTAACAGGGCTTGCCTGGGAATGAGCTGTGGCATTTCTGCAGATCGTCCCATCAGCTGTGACCAACCCGGGTGGTTTGGACCCTTCTCCTTGGGGACTAAAGAGGTGCTAAGCAGCCACCCTCCAGCTTGGGCACTTCCCTGCTCTCCTGGAGCAATGTCAGCTCCACGAGTGATGGGTGGGAGAGCCCGGCACGCACACCAGCAGAAGAGCCTTTGTCCCCAAAGTGCCACCAGCTCTCGTGCAAAGCAGGAGTCGCAGCCACTCCATCCACGTCACTCCAAAACTCAGCACAGAGGGTGCTGAGGAATCACCTGCACAGCAGGTCGGGCAATCGCGGGGCAGAGCTCACACCAGCCACATCCTTACCCTTGGGGACGCAATCTGGAGGGAGATGGTGCAGTTTTGGGGGGATACAAAAAGGCCACCACCTCAGTTTTTCTCCTGAGTCCACCTGGCTATTCCTGCGTTACTTCCTCACCGCTGTCAGGCCCTTTGAGGTCTAAAGAGCTTCAGTTTTCTTAAAGCCTCTGCTGGTTTTTTGTGCTCTGCTTTCAACTCGTGCTCTCTTTCCTCATCCCACTGGAGATAACCCAGGGCAGAGGAGCCCCTGGGGCTTGGCCACCCACTCCCTCCCTTGATGTCATGTTAAGACTTCACTGTGGGCTGTGGTGGTGCCTCTGTAAAATGATGCTCAGTGTTTCTTTGGGTCCTAAGGCCAGGGGGGAGAAGAAAAAAACAACCAAACAAAAAAAACCCCAACCCAAAACCCACAAAAAGACAGAAAACCACAATGATGGAGGTAGGGAGGTGATACATGGCCACTGGCAGGGGCTGTTGAGATGCAGAGTACCTGCACCCTGGGACTTTGTGGTGCAGGGGGAGGGCTGGAGGCTGGGAGAGGGAAAGCCACCAGCCTGTGGTGACAGTCCTGCCAAGGCCCTGGGAGTGCCAAGGGTGGACACAGTGGGCAGGATGGGCTCCCTGCAGCGTACATTTTGCAGGAGGGTGGGTGACATTAGCTGTGTCCCACCCAGAGCTGCCCCGGTAGGAAACGCTGTCCTCCCTTGTTTGCCCCGTGGCACAGGCTGGCTTGTGCAGGAGGTCCCTGTGTCCCGGTCTGGTCCCAATCCCAGGCTGCACAATGAAATAAAGTGACCCAAATTCACTCTCCCAAAGTTTGCGGTTATCGAGGGCAGCTAAAATTATCCCTCAAAATCTCCCAAAAGCTTGGGTTCTGGTGAAGCTTTGTTCTTCCCTACAAGCACTACACACCAGCACCTTCCACATTCAAACCTGGCCAAGGTGCACCCAATCTTACATCCAGGAGCAATTAAGTGAGCAACACAGCAATTATCACCCAACCTGCCCTTCATGGTCCTAGTCCATATGATCCTATAGCAATCCCTATAGCCCATGGATGAGGGAAAAATTAGCACCTGGCACAGGCTTCCAAGCAAGACACTTCCCGCTCTGGACTGTCCTCTGCCTGGCCATGGCTGTGTGAAGATGCTCTCCAGCCATTGCAAGGCAGCTTTTAAAGGGCAGATCCAGAGGGCTCAGCATCCCTTGGGGTCCTGAGGGGTTAAACATGGGGAGATCTGGTCTGGAAAATGAAAGAAAGACTATCTTTGGAAATTGCACCCCGGTGGGTTGGGCTGCAGTGGCCTCCAAGGCATGGTGGGTTGGAGAAGGAGGGAGGAAGGAAGGATCTCCATCAGCACCAGGCAGTTGGCAGCTCTGCCCCGGAGCTGTTGGAGCAAACGAGCTGGTTGCAATTAGACACGGGAGCTGGTGGCAATGAGACACAGCTGCTCCATGCAGGTGTCAACGCCTCCCCAGATCCAGCCTCCAGCCTCCCAGGAGCCCTCATAGGCTCAGCAGGAGGCACGGTGTGGGTGCTGTTTGGGAGACAGGCCCTCCCCTTGCTCAGGTGAGAGGAAGGAAGCAGCAGGGAGAGGAGGAGCTGAGGGTGAGTGAGCATTGCTGCTGGTAGAGAGCAGCTCCTGGGGTTTCTGGGCTGGTTGCCCCAAAGTTGAGGAGGTGCTGAGGTCCAGCAGCTGCCCAGGTAATGGGGAAGGTCCTGGACGGTTTGCAGTGTGGGATGGATGGGGAGTGTGGATGTGCAGGGTGGGAAAGGTGGGCTGCTTGTGGGGTGGCCCAGGCTGCTGGCACTTAGGAGCAAAGCAGGCTGGTGTTAGCAAAGTATCTGCCTTGTTTTGGAAGGCTTTTTAGCCGGAGAGGTGGATGTGGGCTGTGTTGCCTCCATAGGGGAGGATTGCTCCCTTTGCCTTCCACAAGACCTGTGTGCTGAAGGGCTGTGAGCCTGCTGTTTCTGGGGTTTGATGGGTGAGGATGCTCCACTCTTCTGTAGGGTTTATTGAATGTGGCTTGGTGTCCTTGGGGTGGCTTGAAAACACTTCTTCCTGCTCTGTCCCCCTATTAATCTCTCTGCAGAGCATAACCTATTCTTCATCTCCCTGATGGACCTCCTCCATCCATGGCTGAGAGCTGTGAGAAGTCTGAGCCTCTTTTCTCTCTTCCCTCCCTGTCTCCAGCTTTCCTGGGTGAAGCCCTCAGGGAGTGAAACTCACTGAGCTGAAAACTCTATCAGGTCCATCCTCTTCCCCCTGCCCTGGGGCTGAGCGAGGTGCAGGCAGATGCCTGGGGAGAGGGCAGCATTGGGGCAGCAGGGCATGGAGACCCACCAGGGGATGCTGGACCTGCAAGATGGGACATGGCCCTAGCTGACAGTGCCACCCAGCATGGGGCTGTTCCTGGGGGCTCTTTCCAAACTTCCACCCCAGACCCCTTGGGATGTGCAGGATTATCTTCCAGGGATTTTCCCTATGTGCTTTTCAGGTCTGTCTCAATGTCTTGCAGCGGGGAGCGCCACAAACATTGGGGCCAGCTGGGTTGTTCCTCCTCTCCAAAAATCCCTCCCTCTGCAGCGAGGAGCTCTCTCCCACTTGCTGCCAGCCCCCGCAGCACAGCGGGGAGGGGGCTGGAGGGCTGCCCACACCGGCAGCAATGCCTAGGAAAGCTGGGCTCAGCAGGATGGCGGGTGGCCCCGTGACACTGGCCCCGCTCGTGGCAGAGCTGATGGTGGCACTGAAGCTTCTGGAGCTGGCTAGAGCTCCCCTGCCATCCCCCCCTAGGAGGGGGAATAAGCTTTGGGTTTATTCCTGGCTGTCGGGGAGAGGTGGGGGGGACAGGAGGTGGAGCAGGGACTGTGTCTCCCCGTGCAGCCTGCCTTCCCGGAGGGATGTCCAGGAATGGGACAGGGCTGAGTTTGTGCCAAATGGATCAGAGAGGCCGGGTGACTGCTGGGACAGAGGGCTCATCAGGTGGCACCTGCTTGCCCTCATCCCTTTGGGTAAGGAACCAACTCTCATCGGCTGGGGGCTGTGCTGAGATCCCCCAGGGGCACCATGCCATCAGCTGATCGTGCTGTCAGCACAAGGGGTCTCTTTTTGTTCATCCGTGGTCTTTCTCAAGTGGTCATCCTGTGTCCTCATCCTCTCCTTGGGGCGAAGTGGGGTGCAGAGCTGGCAGCTCGGGAAGCTGGGTTCAGCCTCTGGTGGGATGTGCTGACACCAAGACCCTTGTCCTGCTGATGCCAAATGCTGAGCAGATAGAGCAAGGGGCTCCTCTGGCCCAGGGACCAACACCCAGCATCCAGACATAGATCTACAAGAAATAACTCCAGGGACTTCAACGTGTTGGCCAGAAGGAAGCTGCCAGAGGTGGCCTGCAGGAAGAGGGCTGCATGAGAGATGTTTGGAGCCCATGTGCCACCTGGTGTGGCTGGAGGAATGGCTGCACTGTGAGCCCCAGTGTGGACCATGCCAAATCTCCAGCTTTGCAGCCACACCTCTTCTCTGGCACAGCAGATGGGAATGGTCTCCGGTCAGGGAGTGAGGAGCTGGAGATGGTGAGGGGGCGAGGGGATGAGCAGGAAGCAGGCAAGGCTTTCCTTCTGCCTGTTCTTGCTAATGAATTCCAGGAGCTGTGCAGCGGTGCCTGGTGAAAACAGTGTGGCAGAGCTGTCCAGGTGTCCTCCGGGCAGCACAGCCCCTTTGCTGGGATTCCCCAGGAAGGTGGATGATGATGGCAACAGGGGCTGTAAGATGGAGAACAGGGAGCTCTGGCTTTAATGAGGGCCGTGTCTGGCCAATTAGGCAATGCCAAGGTGGGATGCCTTCCCCTCCTGGTGGGAAACGTTAGTTTTGGACTCTGTTCAAAGGGAATGTGTGGTGTGTACTGCAGCACCTCAGACTTCCCACCTCTCTGGCCTGAGTTTTGGGGTTTGTTTTGTTGTTTTCTTTTTTTTGAGGACAGCACAGGGCAGGAGGTCTCCTGCCAACCACATTCTTGTTTGAATGGGCTGTTGACAGCTTGATTGCAAAGTGTGGCTGTGACATAGTATTTGCCCTCCCAAGGGGCAAATGTGGTGGTGCATCCTGATAGCAAAGGTCTCTCTCCTTCAAGCTGGATGCAATAACTACTGCTCTGGCTTCAATCCTGTTTTCTGGTGCTCACAGAGGCCCTGGTTGGTCTCCATCAAGGCCCTTCATGTGTTTGCCTCAGTTTCCCTAGAGGCTGACCTGTCCCCATGATGGGGCTGTGTTTGCAGCTGTGAAATGACTCCTGGAGTAAATTCTCCTAACATTTAACTTCTGGAGTCCCTTTTTCCCCACCTGAGTCTATTCCTGTCTCTCATCTGCAGTCTCAGACAATGAACTACGTGGGGCAGCTGGCTGAGACCGTCTTTGTCACGGTGAAGGAGCTGTACCGGGGTCTGAACCCTGCCACCCTGACAGGCTGCATCGACGTGGTTGTGGTGAGACAGCCCGATAACTCCTTCCAGTGCTCCCCGTTTCACGTGCGCTTTGGGAAGCTGGGGGTGCTGCGCTCCAAGGAGAAGGTGGTAAGTGGTGTCTGCCCTGGTACTAGGCTTCCTCTCTGGTGTCTCCAGACATAGGATCTTCCATAACCCACGAGTTATGGAAGAACTTTGTTTGAAGGGAATGTGAGCTCTGCTGAGAGGGGTGCTTGCCAATTTTTGGAGGGGATGCTCCCAAATGGAACCCATCCTCTTCTGGGGAGGACTGTGCTTCCCAGAAAAAATGGTAGAGGTCCCTTGCCTCAAAGGTTGGGTGGCTGTCAGCCCTGTGAGCAATCCTGACCAGTCCTGTTCCTGGGGAAGTATGTTCATGTATGCAGATGGGTGAGAGGGTTCAGATGGACAGGTTTCTTCTGCCTCTTGCCAGGTTGACATCGAAATCAATGGGGAGCCTGTGGATCTGCACATGAAGCTGGGTGACAATGGAGAGGCCTTCTTTGTCCAGGAGTCAGAAGAAAACGAGGTTGGTGATGAAGAGGTGCTGCTGGTCTGTGTCTTCCTGTCACCATCTGGAAGTGCAGGCTTGAGGTAGAAGGACCAGGTTTGGACTGCTCTTCTTCCTCAGGGTGATTCCATTATCCCCTCTGATGTTTTCTGTGTCTGCAAAGGTTCCTACTTGAAGGATCTTGCAACCAGTGTGGAGGATCCGAGTGTTGGAGCACCCTGAGGGAGCATTAGACCAAATATCTGTATCTCAAACTCTCCTCCATCAATGGGCATGGCTGCTGGCCAGCCAGGCAGATATCTTGGAGCTTAGCTTATTGAGGGATCTTATGACAGGGATGAGAATGAGCCAGATGCTGTGGCAGGCTGCCCGCTCTACTGGGAAGCAGGATGAGACTAGTTGTGGCTTCCAGAAATCTCAGCAGCTCTCTCCCAAGCTGACTTGTGGTTGTTGCTGGATTGGGCTGGGCTTGAGAGCAAGGAGAGGGCTCTGGAGCCAAATCCCATTTGCAGCCTTTGTAATTCTGGTCTCATGGTGCCATCTCCTGCCTGCCTCTCCTTGCCTGCATTGAGGATGTCTTTATCTTGGGGCTGGATAACCCTGGTTTTGTGTTTTGGTTTGGTTTTTTAATTTATTTATTTTTATTTTTACTCAAATGTTGTGTGCACAAAACCATTCCTTTTGGACCTAGCCATTGGGGCTGGATAACCCTGGTTTTGTGTTTTGTTTTGGGTTTTTTTAAATTTTATTTTTACTCAAATGTTGTATGCACAAAACCATTCCTTTTGGACCCAGCCACGAAACCACCCCCAAGCTGAGGGCTTGGTGGTGTAGGTTGCACCAGTGGCATATGTTGCATTGACAAGAGCCGTGAGTTGCCAGGCTGGAAAAGAAGGTGCTGGAGCTGACAGGCTCTTCCATACTTCTTGCAGGGCAGCATTCCCGCCCGCCTCTGCACGTCTCCCATCCCCAGGGAGGAAAGCCTGGAGGATGCCACTCAGCCCTCTCATGGGCAGGAGGCCTCTAGCGCTGAAGCAACCCTGCGCAAGAGGAGGCGACGCAAGAGGAAGCCCAAGCGGAAGGAGGTGTCAGACTCCAAGTTAGAAGGCTGTGAGGAGACCAAAAGCAAGATGTCCATGGAAGAGCCATGCAAGCTGCCAGACCCTGGGTGAATGGCTCGGTCTGGGCAGGATAATCACAGAATGGCAGGGGTTGGAAGGGACCTTTGGAGATCATCTAATCCAACCTTGCTGCCAAAGCAGGTTATCCTAGAGCAGGTTGGACAGGAATGCATCCAGGCAGCTTGCAGTTGGTCAAGCCCGCAGGTTGCGGTGGGTCAAGCCTGTAGGTTCACTTGGTGATGCCCAGCAGTACTGAAACATGGGGATAGTGTTTTGAGTTGGACCCCAGCCTCCTGTGGAGTAGAAAGCCAGTGGAAATGAAGTTGGGTATTGCCAGCTTTCCTGGTGCCTGAGACTGGCATTAACTGACCTCTTTCCTCCTTTGCAGTGATTCTGTGTATTTCTCCTTCACTGATCTCCCTGAAGAAGAAACCAGGTCACTGCAGTCTCCAGAGATGCACCCTTACTCTGATGGGGAGCTGGCCTCCATGGAGAGGTAACGGGGCAGAGCCAAGGTGATCTGCTTGGCTTTGGTGAGAGCAGGGGATGTGCCTTGTGGCCAGGAAGGTGGATAGGAAAAGGGATATGGGGGTGCCAGGAGAGAAGAGCTTTCCTGGCCTGATATGGTGGGCTGGAGGAAAGCTTGGAGCCAACGAGGAACACTTCTGACCGTGGTCACATATGTGAGAAGCCTGTGTGCACTGGGGTCTCCTGCACAACTGGTAGCACAGCTCTTTGCTTCCTTGGGCCTCAGCTACCTATGGGTCTTGCTCATTTGTAAGTTATGGTCTTATTGGGCAGAACTGAGTGTATGGGAAACCAGCCTTCCAGGGTTCTTGGCCCTAAATGTCCTTGCAGTGATAGGAAAGCATGGGGCTGTAGGGTAGGTGAGATGCAACATTCCCTTCTTTTCTTGTAGTCCCACCCTGAGCTATCAGTCTTCTCCCAAAAGTGACTCTGAGCTGGAGATCAGACCGCAGGAGAGTTTTGCTCTAGGGGCTGAATCCCATGTGCAGTGGACCTGGGGAAGGCTCCCTCAGGTGAGTCCCTGCTCCTGTTCTTCTCTAGGAGCTGGTGGGAGGGGAGTTTCTGAAAGGCCTGCACAAAGTGGAGGAGGCTGTGGCCAGGCAGCCTTAGAGGAGTTGTCCTCTTCTGCCTGATGCTTTGGGCAACTTCCCATCCTTAAACCTGTTGTTCTGCTTTCTTTCAGGTGAATAAATCGGAACGAGTTGAACCAGCCAAGTCCACAAAGACCTTTGCTACTGCAGCAACTACTGTCTCTGCGACACCAGTCCTGGTGGATGAAGCAGCCCATTTTCTTGCCACCTCTGAAGGTCTGGGAGGAGGTCCAAGCACAATGGGACACCAGGGTGCACCTTGTTCCTCCACTGTGTCTGTTTCTAAGCTGACACCTGCACCATGGGATGGGAACAGCCTCTCTAAGCTGAAGGACATCCCCAGTGCTGTGGGGACAGAGAGCTTATTGGAAGACACCTCAGCCCCACAAGAGAAACAGGAGGAAAGTGGGAGTGTTGTGCCAGAGGTTCAGCCAGATGTGGACCCCTTTGAGGGAGCTGCTGCTCCCAAGCAGATGGCCTCAGAGGAGCCTGAGCCCCAGCTGGAAAGCCAGAGGAGACAAGGTGAGTAGGTGACTGGTGCTGCTGGAAGTGGTGTTTGAGCCCGGAGATGTATCTGACTTGGTTGTGGGACTGGTTTGCTCATTCAGTGTAACTCCATGACTGCCTTGGCTGGTCAAGCTATGATGTGTTTGCTTTGCCCTCTCTGTGTGTGATCGGCTTCTTTGCTTTGAAGACACATTCCTCAAGTTTCCCCCTTCCAGTGACCATCCAGCTCCTCAGGAAAGCTTTCTTGCCTTAAATTTCCAGAAGTCCATCCTTGGATGTCTCTACTTTTGCATATTTAGGAGACTTCTCGGTGGTGTACACCATACCTAAACTTGAAGTGTCTGGCAGTGCCTGGCCTGACTTGTGTCTTCATCCTGAGCATGCCAAGTCAGGTGGAAAACCACACTGTCAAGATGTGTGTATTTAAGAACTTCTAAGTACACACTTCATTTTGTGTATTTAAAGACTTTTATGTTGTTATCTGTCCTAACCAACCTTACTCTTCCAGCCAGCGTAAATTCAGAACAAAATTGTCTCTCAGAAGAGGTACCTGAGACTCCTCATTGTACAAAGACAGAGGTCACAAAGTGTTATCTTGCATGGTGCTAATGGCACCTGCAGATTGTCTTTGGCCAGTCCTTTGTGTCCACTTGGCAAGTGGTCTCATGCTACTGCAGGTGTCTTGAGGTGCTTCTTTTGCTGTTGATTTAAGGCATCTTTTCAAGTAGGAAAAGAGATGGTGTCTTTATGTGTTATATGAATATCGTAGAGGAAATGCTGTTAGCTGCCTTGATGATGCTGAGATGGTTGGAAAGGTGACTCAGCTAAGCTCTCTCCCTTCTGTCTGTGCTTTGAGGATCCATCAAAAGAAGCCCTCACTTGGGTCCCAGTGATGTTTACCTGGAAGACCTCTCCAACCTGGATGAGAAGCAGCTGGCTCTCTATTTCCCCAGGAGGTACAGGATGCCCCAGCTGGCCAAGCTCACACCTTGTTGAGCAATTCCCTTCCAGCAAAGGGTGGAGATATATCTAGAGCTATTGCCTGATGGTGCCACTGTTTCTTCTCTTGTTGGTAGTGACACAGAGCAGAGCTCAAAGCCTGTGGCAGACCCCAGCAACCCTCTGTGTGTCCAGCTGCCATCTGACCTGCCTGCCGACAGCCCCATGGACTCTGACCCTGATTTGATGCCCTCAATTGCCCTGTCTCTGTGTGGAGGGCTGGGAGGCAGCAGGCAGATCTCCCACGGTAGGTGGGAGGGGAGAGGGAATTTTCTGTTCTGAAAGCCATTATATACTCCAGTGGTATGACACAGCCTCTGTCCCACCAGAGAAGTTCATGGAGCACATGGTGTCCTACCAGCAGTTTGCTGAGAATCCAGGGCTCATCGATGACCCGAACCTGGTGATACTGATCAACAAGAAGTGAGTGGCCTGTTCTTCCTTCTGCTTCATCCCAAGATGAAGTTTGGCCCCTTTGTCCCTACAGAAATGCTCCTGTAGGAGAGTGCCTCCATCTCAGAAAATGATTACACCACAGTAGTTATGGGAGGGGACTTTCTGGCCCTGCTGCAGGATGGTCATCTGGAAACAGACCTCGCTCCAGGACCGATGATGTTCCCATCCCTGTTTCTTCTTCCAGGTATTACAACTGGGCAGTGGCTGCTCCCATGGTCCTGTCCCTTCAAGCTTTCCAGAGGAACATTCCTGAGGTCAGTGGCACAACACGCTTGCTGGCCATGCTTTTCATCAGGCCTTGAAAAGTGTGGGGGGGATACAAGAGGCCAAGCTGCCAATCTGGGGCTTTGCAGGCAGCCTGGGGCAGGGCTGAACATCACTCCAGCTCACAAACCCTGAGGTCTGTCCTTTCCCCTAGAGGTACCTCAGGGTGGCTTCTAGATACCTGGGTACCAGTGATGCCTGGAGAGCAGAGACTTCCTTGTCAAAAATCTCCTATTCTTACAGTCGTGTCTGTGCAAGGTTGGCCAGATCTGGAGGATGTGGAACTGCATGAGCCCACTCCAGGGCTGGGTGGGATCATAAGGAATAAGGCATCTAGTCTTGGGTGGTTTTGGTGGTGGTTCTCCTCATGCAGCTTAAAAAAAAAAAAAGTTATTTTACCCTTCACCCCGAAACCATTTCAGCTCACAGTGTGGCAGGAGTCACACATCTTATCCAGTCAACCATTTTCCGAAGGAAACCCTGCATGGACAAGGTTGTCCTTAGCTTGTTGGCAGCTGAGCCTCCCTGGGATGAGGACTGACTTCATCCCATCTTCTGCCATGTTTACAGAGCACCATCGACCAACTGGTGAAGGAGAAGATGCCCAAGAAAGGCAGCAGGTGGTGGTTCTCCTGGAGGAGGAGAGAATTCCCAGCAGAGGAGGTGTCTGCAGTGGTGGCTGTGACAACAGGGTCCCCAGGGCTCAGGAGTCATTCTGGTTGCTGGCAGGGGTGGGGGTAGGAGAGCAGCAGGATCCTGGGGATGGCTTGGGGCTGAGTATGAGAGTGTCCAGAGGGACCCTGTGGCAAGTTGACTTATGAAGGCTGTTGCTGTCCCCTCGGGTCTGTTAATGCCCAATCACCACTGAGCAACTTTACCAACTAGTAAAGTGGACCTTGTGCTCCTCATGGCACAGTCCAGACACCACATGTGCTTTCTGATCTCCCTGCCCCACCACAGCACCAGGTTGTGGTTCCTCTTCCATGGGGCAGTGTCCTCAGGAAGGCAGGGGGATACACTGCCACCTCTTTTCTGGTATCGCTGCTCCAAATGACAGCAACGTAGAGCAGCCCCAGCTCCTGCCCTTGGCACTGAGGTGCTAATGACACCTCTCTCTGTCTCCAGCAGTGGTCGAGGCCAGGGAAAGCCACCACGGGGATGCTGCAGCGTGACTCTGCTCAGCAGAGGTGAGTGCCTTCCTCCCAGGTAGCTTTTTGGAGTCTATGGGTGCTCTTGACCTCTTCTCCTCCCAAATCACCACTTATTCCCAAGCCCACCTAAAGTATGAGGGCAGAAAGCTCTGGCTCTGACTGATCCCAGTCCAGCCAAGCTCCTCCATGGCTGCTTCCTGGTGGGTGGATTCTTGAGTCCCCTCCAGATGTTGCCTGCTGTTCATGGGGAAAGTCATGGTCTGTAGAGTAAGCCAACGTGCTCTTCCCCTCCTTGTGTAGGGAGGAGGTGGTGTCATCCAGTGATGATGAGCCTGGGCACCACGGGGGAATATTAACTGTGGATGGTCCTGCACAGAAATCTCAGCCAACCTACAAGAAATCTCTGCGACTCTCTTCTGAACAAATTGTATGTACTTCTTCACTGCCTGCTGGGGGGTGGGGGGTGTAAAACAACCCTTAAACAGGGATTTCTCTGCTCCTGACTTCCTGGTTTTTATAGGGCATCCAAGTATTTTGCCCCAGGTGACCACCCTATAGAGGGTTGGGGTCTCTGATCTGGCCAGGTGGCAGTCTGGCCTCTGGCAAGCCTTGGTCTGGTGTGAATTGGTGGTGGTGTACCACTTCTGTTCCTCCTCTGCCACAGGGAAGGCTGAATCTGCAGGATGGTCCCAATGAGGTGGCATTCAGCGTGACAACTCAGTACCAGGGCACATGCCGCTGTGAGGCCACCATCTACCTGTGGAACTGGGATGACAAGGTGGTGATCTCGGACATTGATGGCACCATCACCAAGTAAGGGGACTTTCTCCTAGCCCACATCCCTGCTCCCCCCTCCATTAGGGGAAAGTGTTCTTTCAAGGCTTGTGTAAGCAGCCAGGAGGGACCACAAACCACATCATCTTTTGGATACCCACCAGGTTGGATCACCATAACCTGGTCTCCTTTCCTTCTAGGTCAGATGCTCTTGGGCATATCTTGCCTCATCTGGGAAAAGACTGGACTCATCATGGGATTGCCAAGCTCTTCCACAAAATCCACCTGTAGGTATTGGATCAGCTGAGGCCGAGGGGAGGTGGGAGGGTGGTGGAGGAGAGCCTGAGTAGGGGCTGGACCCGCTCTTTAATCACTGATGATGGCCAAAGTAGCCTAATCTTCTGCCATCAGTGACGGCTGATGTCTGCTGTGTTGTCTAGATGATGTTGTGGGGTGAAAGCTGGACCTCCCCTGGGAGCTGGGAGGAGATGTGTGTGTCGGTGGAAGCTTTGCTGGGAAGATGTAGCTGAGTGCTGAAGGAGATGAGGTCACACCAGACTGCACCCCAGAGACCACAGGCACAGCCAAATGCCTTTGGGTGGCTGTGTAGCGGTGGCATGGGGTGGCCGGTTGCCCCTCTGGGTGCCCTGCTATGGCTCCCTGTACCCTCAGGGGACCCACCCGCCCTGGGGTGCCCTGCTGTCCCCTCACCCGGCGGGGGCTGGCAGTGGGTCCCCGTGGAGCCCAACCTTCAGCTCTGTCCCTGGCACCTGTGGCCACTAAGAGGCACTGTGGGCCCGCAGATGGCTCGTCCCGGCCCCGGGTGGGGTACACAGGGGGCTCCCACTCCCCGGGGGGCTGTGGGGCTGGGCCTGCCCTTGCCAACACTTCAGTTGCCACCTTGGGATCCCCCAAGAGCACCGGGACCCCCCTGGCCGAGCTGCCCACCAGTTCTGCTGGCTGTTCTGCAGGGCCACATGCAGGCTGCAAGGGGGTGACAAAGCATGGGGGGGTCCCATCCAGGTGTGCAGGTACCAGGCAGCAAAGGGTGCTTTGCTGGGATGGGCATGTGGATGATGAGAAGGACCTGGAGGGTGGTACAGGGTCCCCCTCCAGTGCTGGTCCCCAAGCTTCCCAGCAGTGGGGTGGGTGGGTGTTAGCCTGGGTCTTCTCTGGGCAAGTGAGTTGTTGGTTGTGAAGCCACCTTGTTGCTGAAGGGGTGAAGGGGGTTTGGGCTTCAGCCAGGTGTTCAGCCTCATCCTCCCTCTTCCTCCTCGGAGCGGGAGGACACCTTGCCTGGGGCACAGCTCAGAGAGGTTTCCTGTGCTCACTCTAGGAACGGCTACAAGTTCCTCTACTGCTCAGCCAGAGCGATCGGCATGGCCCACATCACCAAGGGCTACCTCAAATGGGTCAATGAGCAGGGCTGTGCCCTCCCCAAGGGCCCCATCCTGCTCGCCCCCAGCAGCCTCTTCTCTGCCTTCCACAGGTACTGTGTCCTCTCCTCCTCCCCATCCCTGCACCCCATGGGGACTGCACCCCTCTTTCCCAGCTTGATGCTGAGGGATCTCACAGCCTTAAACTGGTTCTGGGCTCCTCGGTGCAAGTTGCTTTTCATGGGAGGCAGCAGGGGAACTGCCTGCCTTCCCTGGAGCTTCCTGGTGAAGCTCCCACAATGCACAAAAATCACTTTTGACCTTCAAATTGCATCTGAAGGCTGTCCTGGTTGGCTGATACCACCAACGTCTGCTCTGTGCGTGTGTCTTGTGCTGCAGGGAGGTGATTGAGAAGAAGCCAGAGGCGTTCAAGATCGCCTGCTTGATGGACATCCAAAACCTGTTTGCCACGAAGCTGCCCTTCTATGCAGCTTTTGGGAACAGAGCCAATGTGAGTGGGTCTCCTGGGGAGGAGGGAGGGAGGGAAGCCCCAGGCTGGGGTGGTGGTGCCTTCCTGCAGCTGCTCACACTTTGCTGGCCTTCCTTGGGCAGGATGTCTATGCCTACAAGCAAGTGGGCCTGCCCGAGAGCCGCATATTCACAGTTAACCCCAAGGGAGAGCTGATCCAGGAGCTCACAAAGAACCACAAGTCAACGTAAGTGACCTGCTTGTTCCCCGGCACCAGTTGGGTTAACCTGGCTTTAACCCAGAGAGGAATTTATGGGGTAGAAAAGCAAAGAAATTGCCAATACAACTTCCTCCTTACCCCCATAGGTATGAGCGGCTGGCGGAGCTGGTGGAGCTGATCTTCCCTCCCCTGGGGCAGAGTGGGAGCATCGCTCTGGTGTGTCCAGAGTACAGCCACTTTGCCTACTGGAGACCTCCACTGCCTGCTGTTGACTTGGATGTCTTCTGACCCCGTTACCTCTGGAGACCTGACCTAGGGCTCTCCTGTGCCTCCTCTGCTGGGGTTGGATGCTCCAGGTGCATCTCCTCCTCCCTGTTTGCTGCTCAGGCATTTTGCACTTCTAATACGGGTCACGTTCTGCACCAGAAACACCCCTTCTCAGGGGGCCAAAGGGGAGTAAGAGGGAACTCTGACTACACAAAACCCCCATTTACACTGGAATTCCTGTAAGCTGGGTCTCTTCTTAATGGTCTCGACAGCTTTAAAGCCTGGCTCTCTTTTAAGGTGGTGGTGGGTCACTGTCTTATTTATGGATGAGCCTCTGGCATAGCTATTGCTACCTCCAGTATGACCAGCATTCCCAGCCAGTCCAACTACCCATAGTTTGGTAGCTGGTGGAGTGAAGCTGTCCTGTGGCTTAACAACTTGTTAAGGGGGATGGAAGCTGTTGGGGTTTTGAGTGTTCTTCACAAATAGCAGTAACTAATAAATAGTGCCTTAATCCAAGCTGCCTCACGTCTGCTGTGTGTGGAAGAGGGATCCAGGTTCTGTGTCCTCTCACAAATGTGGTTGGGTTTATCTTGATGGGGTGCCCTGCCAAGGAGGGCTTGGTGGAGATGGGGGCAGGACCTGCAGCTTCCTGGACCTGTGGAGCAGCTGCACTAAAAAAAAATGGACTTCTAAATATATTTGTTTTTCACCTCCTACTTTCAGGTAGTGCTGCAAAACTGACTGGAAGCAAACCCTGGCTTTTTGTGGGAGGGTGAGTCTGTCTTGTGCTAGGATGGGAGCTTATTCTTGTGCCCTGTACTGGAGCATCCAAGGAAAACTGCTGCCCCTGCCCTGGGAGCTCTTAGCTGTAATTACACCAAATAAGATGGGTAGGAGCACTGCTGGGCTCCTTCCTCCAGTCTGGCATCCAGCTTCTCCTTCCCTGACCACTGTGTTCAAGTGTAAATCATCTCCTGCTCATCTGCCTGCCCCCTCTCCTCCTCTAAATAGCCTCCATGCTCTAACTCAAACCCAATCCTGGGCTTATGCTGCGTTTCTTAAAGCCATACAAGTCACTTTGATTCTGGAAACCTCAGCAAGAAATACTTTATTATTATTTTATTTCTCCTTTCCAGTACAAACAGTCTTTCAGCTTTTAAAATCTGAACAAATGTACAAGGTTTTAAAAACAATAAAACAACAGCCTCAATACAGGATCAGTTGTCAACGGCCTTGGAAAGCTGCCTGTGCAAGGACAACCGTGTGAGCACCATCTCCTTCCCTCGCTGCAAGCAAAAAAAACCAACCAACCAAACAAAAAAACCCCAAAAAACCTTTTATACAAAGTTCCTTTCACTCTTTAAACATGAATAGCTGAGAACTGAAATACAAACTGCCTGAAGTTTCAAGTGACTGGTCAGGAATAGTCCAAACGTAGCACCATTTTCCGGAAGGTCAGACTTCTTCCTTGTCCCAGTTTCGTTATGGTCAGTCCCAGCTTCCTCTGTGCTGGAGGAAGCTCTTGCTGTTCTGTTCAGCTCCTCCTGAACCCAGCCCTGGTCTGGGAAGGGGTGAGCCTGGCCCTTGCCTTAATTTTCTCTTTGGTTGCTTCAGCCCTTTTTCTCCCTGTTGTGAGAGGATGGGGAGGGGACGTGGGCAGGATGCTCCTGTGAGGTGAGGGCCCCCTGACCCATCTCAAAGCACCAAGGGCTGGCTGGAGAATCCTTCTGTGGGCTGGGGGGGGAAATAGGTTTTATTGTCTAAGAGCAGGTTTTGCAGGATGCCCAAAGGCAGCTGGAGGTTGTTCCTCAGCTGGAAAAGTGTCTCAGGAGCTGCAGATCTGTGAGCCTGGAGCAGCGAGTGGCTTCTGGTGTTGTGAGCATCCAGCAGCCTGTGAGCTGGCGGGGGCAAGAGAGCAGTGGGAATCCTGGTCCCCTCTCCCTGCTCGTACAGCTGGTGGCCCACGCTCCTCTGGCAGGGGAAAGAGCTTTCATTGCATCAGGGTAACGTGATGCAGCCAACTGGACTCTGTGATCCCTGTGGTCCTCTCCAGTCTGGAAGCATCTGTTTGAGGGAGCTCATCCAGCTTTTGTGGAGGAGAAAAGGCTCCCAGAGGCATCTCTGCTGGGAGTTGCTGCTGCTTTGTGCTGGTCGGAGCACAGAGCTGCTCCTTTGCAGACAGGGGGGGCCAGGGGGGGATTGTGGTGGAGAAAAGCAGGGATGACCTGGTGAAGGCGATGGGTGTAGGGTGGATGGGTCCATGACCTACAACACTGAGCTGATAGAAAAATATGTTCCTCTGTTATAAAGTGCCAGAGCTGGTCAGATGGAGGCTCTTTAATCTCCTCTTCATCCCTTTTGGTAACGAAGCCCCTGTTGGTTGAGCAGTGGAGGCCGCTTGTGATGGCATCCCCAGGAGAGGTGGGTACAACTATCCCATGGTCCCAGCATCTGCTCCATGGGGCAAGGCTGGAGTTGCTCAGGAACATGTACAACCTTTTCCAGCCCATGTTTTCATGGGAAACCAAAGTCACCTTGGGTAAATCACTTCAGTTTTTTATTCTCAAGGTCTTCTCAGAGGTGCCCTGCCTTCCTCCTCCCCAGTGACCCATGTTGGTGTGGGTCCCTGGGGCTGTTGGCATCCCAGCAGGCTCAGAGGAATCCCAGGAGGATGCAGGCTCCCGCTGTCGTGCTGCCAGATGGGGAAAGACATCACAGAGAGGGTGAATCCTCATGCTCGTGCCCTGGAGCGGCTGCAGCTCTCCTGCCCCAGGATGAGATGAGAGAAACCATGTTCACAGTTTAAGCAAAAAACCAGGAGAACCAGGCTTGGAGGACAGCAGAGAGCTATGGACACACATCTCTTTGGGGAAGACACATGTCTTCCATAACCCTTTGTGTCCATTCCAGGTGTAACCAGAGCACAGCAAAGCAGGGTTGCAAAGCAGGGCAGCCCCGAGGGACCGCGGGGACCTCCCCGAGATGCTGCTGTGGCAGGGTTTGGCTGCTCAGTGTGGTTCTCCAAAATACAGCAAGGACACGAGGGCAGCGAGAGGAAACTTGGCCATCAGATGAGCACCATAACAGTGGATTGTTCAAAAATATACATACACATACCATATATATATATATATGCATGTGTGTTTTCCTAATACATATCCTCATATGCTCCGTAAGGCATGTGCATTTGCGTGGAGGAGTGAGCAGAATAAATGGATTTACCAGACACGAGGAGGGCTGCCGTCTTGGAGAGGGGAAGGCAGGTCCCGGGGGGATGTGTGAATACGTGTGTTCTTTGAAATCTGCAATTCCTGTGGTGAGTTTTGTTCCCTGTAAGGAGCCCTGGCTCAGCTCAGTCCCTGGATTAAGACGCAGGTGGTCTTTAGGTCAGAGAAACTCTGCTCCTCGACTGACAACTACAGGGTTTTATTCTTCAAGAAGTGATAAATCCACAAAAATCAAATAAAATAAAAATAAAAAACCATTCCCGCCTCCAGCTTCCTCCTGAATTGTCCTTCTGGGGTCATCGGCCCAGGAGCCAAAGCAACGCCCCCGGTCAGGAGGCAGTGACGCTGCTGTACCGGGGTCAGGACAGCTGCTGAGCATCAGGAGGCGAGTACCATAACGGCAGAGTTACGGAAAAGTGGGGCCAACGAGGTTTAAAAAAAAAAAAAAAAAGAGGGTTTGTAGCATCTTTTAATTTATGTTTTCATTAAAAAAATTATCCCAAGAACTGTTGTCACATTGGAGTGAGTCTGTGTGATATAAGTTAATCCTGTCCTTCACGGGGAGGAGAAGGAAGAAGCACGTGGGCGAGTACCATAACGGGAGAGTTACGAAAAAGGGGGGCCAAAAAGGTTAAAAAAAAAAAAAAAAAAGAGGGTTTGTAGCAGCTTTTAATTTATCTTTTCATTAAAAAAATTATCCCAAGAACTGTTGTCACATTGGAGTGAGTCTGTGTGATATAAGTTAATCCTGTCCTTCACGGGGAGGAGAAGGAAGAAGCACGTGGTGGTATGGCTAATGCTGCTTCCCCTCCGCCTGCTCTTCCAAGTGGCCGACCTGCTCTGCCAGCTCGGAGACCTTGGCTTGGCAGTCAAGCAGGTTGTCCTTCAGTCCCGTTATTTCCTGAGAGTGGGCAGCCAGGGTCCCGTTCATGTGGTCCATGTAGTCCCACAGGCTGCCCGTGTGTTTCTCCAGTTCGTCCCTGATGCCGTCCAGGCTCCCCGTCACGGCACCCAGCCTCCCACAGACGCTCTCCACCCGAGCCACCCGGTCATCAAAATGAGCGATCTCCCGCTGCAGGTCGTGGGCCACGCTCTTACAGGAGCTCAGGTCACTGACGATCCTGGCTTTGAGTCGCTCCAAGTCTCCCTTGAGGTTCAGGACACGCCGGTTGCTGAAGAAGAGCTGGGAGCCTTGGTCGTTGACTTTCTCTTGGATGGAGTGGACCTCATCCTCAATCTTCCGCTCGTGCTCATCCAGCGAGGAGTTGACGTGTGACACGGTGTCCGAGTACTGGGAGACGGAGTCCTTGAGCCCAGTCAGAGATTTGCTCACGGTGTTGAGGTTGATCTTTAGCAAGGTGATCTCCCCTTGCAAAGCCCCCGACGCTTCCTCCTCAATTCGCCGCTGGATCTCCAGGATGGTGGCATTCAGCTTGCGCAGGAGGTCATAGTTGCTGTCCATCCGGAGGAGCAGGTCCTGGTTCTTGTTCTGGCAATCTTCAATCTCTGTTCGGAAGGTCTCCACGTCTTTGGAGGCGGAGGTGCAGCCCAGGGAACAAGTGCTCTCCAGCGTGATGAGGCGATTCTGCAGCACCTCCAGTGTCTCATCTGTGCGTTTCTTCATGCTGGCGAGTTCCCCCTCCAGCACAGGCACCACCGCTCCGTCCATGCCCACAGGAGAGGTGACATTGTTCAGCTCCCCCACGATGGTCATGAACCTGTCCTCCAGAGTCTGCATTTTGTCATCAAAGGCAGTCCTCATGCCATCCACCTCTGCCACCACCATGCCTCTCATGCTGTCCTCTATACCGGTGCAGCAGCTCCCCGTTTCTCTCTCTGTAGCATTGAGTCTGGCTTCTAGGTCCTCAAAGCGCCCTTCAAAAAGGTTCCCTAGGGTGACAGTGGAGATTTCTCCATCCAGCCGTGAGTGCAAGTTCTTCTGGGACTCAGAGATGCTGTGAAGGCCTTTCTCAAGGATGTTCATGCGATCAGTGAGGTAGTCCAGGTTGCTGCAGCAGCTTTCCACCACCGTCAGCCCTTGGATCTGGGTCTCCAGCTGGGAGATCTCTTTCTTGATCTCCAGCTCCTTCCCATCCAGCGTCTGCTGCAGCCTCAGGTTGGCAGCTTTCTCCTCCTCACACTGCTGCCGCACCTCTTGGATCCGGAAATCACACGTGGTCTGGATCTTCCCCAGCTTCTTCTCGAAGCCATCGAGCAGCTCTCCACGCAGGTTGCTCAGCCG